ACGGGTTTGGTTAGGTTTGTAGAAGGGCGAAGAACATAAGCTCGGGGAGTCGGTACAGGAGAAGGGGTTACGGTTCGGGGCTTGGACAGCAGGTGCTTGAGTCCAAGGAAGCGCCTTGGTGGGGAGACACGAAGTGTCATTAGGTCAGGAGGTAAATAGTTAGAAGCTGTGCTATCATTCTCCAACACAGCCTCATGTGTGGGCTGATTAGTTACCTAAATCAGCAGTCAACCTCGCTGGCGTGATGGAGGTCGGAGATAACATTTGCGGATGCTCAGAGATAGGAGTGGAGGGCTCATGGTCATGAGCGTGGGGTACAGGACCTGGGTCCAACAGACAGCTTTGTGTGGAATTGTAGCACTCGTCAGCGCAAGTACTGGTGGGTGACGATGCAACAGGTTCCGGTGACTTTTTGGTAAGTTGTCTTTGCATTCTTGTACCAGCAGCTTTAGGTTTCAAGGTATGGAATTTTTTGGTAGATGAGAGAAGAGTTCGGGCTGTTAGCAGACGCGCAGCATCTTTTTCACCCCGGAATTGAATTGTTATCGGGCAGCACATGGATGGTTTCGACTTTCGAAGCCACCGAACTGTACACATGGAATCCAGCATGCCACATGCTGTCAAGATGGCAGTTTTGGTGTGCTCAAACGGGATCACATATTGCATCAGGAGTTAAAAGACATGCAATCGATTGTATGGTTCGCAAGGAAGACATTTCACTTTCCATAATATGTAGACGGATTCTGAGATTTTCCAGTTCTTTCAAGACCTGAGATTCTACTGGTAGTTGTGAGGGGAGAGTGCTGCCAAGTTGCGGAAGAAAAGATATATCAGTTAGGACTACTGAACAATCTGTGGTTGTCTGTGGTACAGTTTTTGCCGGCCTCGATGGATGTGGGGGTTGGGAGCTGGGTCTTCTGGCTGCGGGCCGCCTCTTTGGATATACTGTGGAGATAGTTGATGGGGGTTCGGGGTCTGGCAATCGCTTAGAGGATGAAAGACGGGAGCGGTGTCATAATGAAATACTTCTAAGTAGGTTGAGGAGTAGTAGTGTAAACTTTGCGATGAGTGGCGTTTCCGGTCAGGAACGAAAAATCAGTTGGTGGAAAAGTTGATGTTCCGGAATAACTAAATTGGTGGGGAAATGGCGGCACGCCGTCAGGGACGATTATGCAGGAGAAGGTTAAAAGCGTTGGGAACTGACACCTATTAAGCCTACTGAAGAAGGGAGACCTGATCAACTTCGTGACCGCAGATAATTAGGGGATCTCTGGTGAAAAAATAGTCACCTAGTATAAAAAATAGTTAAAGACTTATGGGTGGGCTATAATCAAAAGAACGTCTTCACAACACCTGACCTTGAAATTTCGGTTTCGCGGTTGCCAAAAACTAAGCATGCTTCTCAAGAGAATCGATTGAATAGGGTTCTCCTTCCAATTTCAATGGGACAGAAGGCATCATGAAACTAAAAAAGACTTCGCTCATCAAGCGTGTTTGTCCAAAAACGACCTCTACTCTTTTGGATAAATAAGCGCTGTTCGCGGTGTAATACTCTCATAACTTTCTGGTGCTGTTTGAGAGCCAACAGAGTGCTGCTGCCTAAATACATCAGCCAAGTCCACCATTAGGCAGCCAAGACGGACCTACCTCTCATTAAGTGTGCCCAGTGTGTTCCTACCGGGACAGCTCCGGGTCTCAAACCCGGTGTTTATGTAATTTAGAACGGTTGTGATTGTGAGCGGTTTGAACCCTGGGGTGTAGACCTGCAGAATTGGGTACTGGGCTTGGGATCATTCTCCTATTCAAATTTTGCTGCAAGCCCTTCCTTTGGAGAGCTGCTGTCACGGTGTATTTTTATGGCGCACATATGACGTTTTTGGTGACGACACCGAAGTTGCAGCCACCCAGGGTTGGTTCTATTACAGGAGACCCGGTTTACTACTTTTGCATAGGCAAACTAGGGCTAGACCATGCATGACGCAGCCCAAGACACGGAAACCTCTGTGGAAACACAACCAACCTTACACACCAGACCCTAGTACCGGCCAGTGCAAACAGATCATGATGAGCCTGGGATGGTGTTTCTCAGGAAGATGACATTGTACCATGCGGCACTTATCATTCGATTGATATTTCGGTAGGTTTTGGTATCGCGAGACTTTTATTGCCAAGCCTCACCTCATTGGATTTTTCCGCCATCCTCTCGCAACACTTGCTGTGAACCTCCATTTCCGATAACCACCGTTTTGCAATGCGTTCAAGCATTCACGACCGGAATTATATGTCTGCCTTAGCCCCTTGTTTCGCTTCTCCCAGTCTGCCGGCGCTTTGTAGATCTGACACTTGCTTATGATTTGTCTGAGCAAAGTTTTGCCGATAAGTATTTTATAGTTAATCCCGTTAGGAATTGTGTTAGTGAAAACAGCTTTCTTGTATTAGATTGAGAAATTAACGAAAGTTTATTTTCCTGATTTTGTTTGCTTGAAGAATCTAGAGCCTACTCCTCTAAAGAACGTGTCTTATGTGAGCCAGTGCGC